GCTTCTCCCTCTCCCACTCCCCCTGCTTGTGTTCCCTCTCTCACTGTGTCTCTCTCTGTCAAATAAATAAATAAAATCTTTAAAAAAAAAAAAACACATTAATATTTTTGTAGCAAATCACATGATAATTATTCCTATTAAGAGATTAATAGGCAATAAACAGTCTCAAATCAGTTCATTGGGTCAAGACGTGCTATCAAATGAGTTATCCAAAAACTGGATTTTCAGAGTGTTTGGTTTGAGAAATACAGATAGGGGACTGTGAATCTAGAGTGTTCCTATTTGAAAGAGTAAATGCCTTTTTCCTTAAGTCCTGGCATACACCATGGCCAGGAGAACGGGCTTCAACAGGAGAGCGTTTCTGACATTATTTTCCCTATTGGTCAGTACGTGCCTGACTCGGAGCACAATGAAAGAGCCATCCTTCATGCCCAGGGCCAGCTGAGATCCATCGGGGCTGAAGGCCACACTGCGAACTGCTTCCTCCATGTTACAGCGGGCGATCAAGGCATGGTCAGCCAGGCTCCACAGCCTACACACAAGAACAAAGTAAAATCAAAACCCACTTCTCATGGTCATTGGCCAGCCCCAGGCCGCAAGGCCTGTTCACCATTCTGATGGTGATGACAGCAGAGGACGCACCAACTCCACACCAGTCCTTCCTCGTGGCAGGTCTGGCTATCTGGGAAGCTGTTCAGTTTATCGCTGGGTCACTGGCACCATTTGAAATACCCAGCAAGAACTATAAAATGAGGTAACATTTCCAGAGATTTTGAGATTGATAAAATAAGGACATTTTAAACACTCTCTCACACAAAATCTTACTATTCTCTTTGGACATTCAAAATCGTTCTTTATTTATCCCAATGGTTGTTAATAATACTTAAAGAAAAAGAAGTACTACTGGATGTTATTATTGTTAGTTTGTTCAAAGAAAATATGAGTATCCTTCTAGTAACTGTTATTTAAGCACCTGTAAATCGAAACCCACCTTACTTAAATTTGTTGGCCTCCCTAGAAAGAAAACCTATCTGAGATGGAGAAGATGGAAAAACACCCCTGCCCCTGCCCAGGATGGTCCCACAGTCAGCTTGGTCATCTGCTGTCATGCCTCACAAGCCCCCTGGGCGCCCCACTGTAGATAGGTCCACCACCCTTGCTTGGAGCTGACACTTCACAGTGCCCCTGGCTGATGGACACAGCTACTGCGGGAGAAATGGAGCTCCAGGGGCAAGTGCCCTCAACACACAGTTGCTGCAACTCCTGAAACACCTGATCCAGGCACCTCAGACTGAGTGAACATGAACTAAATATTTGAAGATACAAATGAGGGTTTATGCTAGTTGCCATCGTGGTAACTGACCGCTATCTGTTCCTAGTCCTAAGACCGTCTTTTCTAAACACACGAACAACAGGATCTGCCAAGGGGACTGAGAATCTAGAGGTCTGCCATACAGAGGCATGAATAAGTCACATGTGGTGCGGTTTCTCTAAATGCCTTCTGCCATCAGGATGGATGGAGGCAGGCTCCTTAAAATGGATAGCTGCACAGTGAAGAGCTCGCTGATCCCTGAGGCAGCCTGCACCGTTCAGTCAAAAGCTCATGGTAGTCTTGCAATACCTCGTCCATTATTCATAATCTCATGCTGCTTTTAGCCTTGTACTATTTTAAGCAATGTAAGCTTTGCTTTACTAGCACACAGAAACTATCACTCCCCAGTAGATTGTGCCATCCCTATAAAGTCACTAAAGCTCATCTTTCTCAAGAAATTAGGGCTTAGTCTCTTCTTAAGTTTCAATATTCAGTGTAAAAGAACATTTATAATTTTAGCCAAATTCATGGTTAAGGGGAATAAGACATTCTGACAGTCAGGGCTCCTTGGAGATATTTGCATTTCTCAGATGCAACAAAGTTGCCAAAATACAAAAGCCAAAGACTTTCTTGAAATCATTTCTACCTGGATGAGTATAAATTGAGTATCTCAGGTGCTCAAGTAACTTGGTGGCACCATTTTGCCTGTTCAGGGAACGCTCAGAGTCAAGGAAGGAAAAGGAAGAGAAGAGGGGGAAGGTGAGTAAAGAGAAGCTTAAACCATATAAACATGTATGCCACATGGAGACACAAGTGTGTGTTTACTGATGTTTAGATTGATGGGGCTTCAGTGCTTGGTGGAGATCACAAAATGGATTTACTTTTGGATTTATACCCCACTAATGAGCACATTGTGCCTTGATCAGATTCAGACATACAGAACCAGAGCAGGGGAGAAGCAGGAGCCTCCGGTCTAGTCTACAATGTTCTAATTTAGCTATTAGAGCCCAGAAGCAGTAATCAATCAACCACCTGATCCAGCAGCCTCTCCCTCCCACTGGCACGCACTCTTTCTGGCCTGCTTGTCATTGGGCACATTTAAAGGTCAGCAGCAAATACAGAAGTACTGAAGTCAGTGGAACAGCTTTCCTCACACACCTCTAAATCCTACATTCAGCCCTTCAACCGTCACAGAGATATTCGAAGTGTGCTCATAATGAGCATTTTATGCAATGCTGTGTTCTCAAAAAATAACAAACGATCCACAACAAGAATCCTTGAGGCCCTCATAAAATTGCCTGTTTTCTTAGGAACCAGTACTTTCCTTTGATTTGAGGACAATGTTCAAATTCCATCTGAGGATTTGCAAAGAAATAGTTTTTTCCTCACACCAAAGACAACTCTGAAAATCAGAATTTAAGTTCTAATGAAGACAAACTCATGAATTCATCATTGGAGATGAATGTCTATAACAAAACTGTGAAATGCTCTGAGCAGGGCCCTGAGGAGGACCCAGCCCACGAGTGGGAAATATAATCTAACTACAGATAGATGCATTTAGCTCACATCATCAATTGAAAGAGAACTGGGAGCCTATCTAACTAGGAGCAGTGTATTTTCACTCCTCAGAGCATTTTCATGACTTAAGATGGAGCCAAAGAAAGATAGCAACAACAAAATGCTAAGAAGCCAAGTTTTGTTGCGCTAAATGTCTCAACATTCCACTTGGAAACTGTGGTTCTGTACTCTGGCTTATCCTTCTCCCGAATAACAAGCAAATTTGGGCAAAATAAATCTGTTATCCCAAGGCAGCCTGGGAGATGACAAGCGCCATTGCCGGGGGCCCCACCTGACAGAGCGATCATCACTGCCTGTCACAGCCAGTGGCTTCTTGGGGTGCAGGGCCAGAGCCCAGAGCTCCCCCTCACAGTGGCCTTGCAGGATCAGCATCGGCTTGTCTCGTTCGCGCACGATCACTTCAAATATCTCACTGTCCTGGGTCCCTGCTAGAAGGCGGTCTGCTTTCCAGCACACACTCCGGATAGAGAGGCCTGGCGAAAATAAAGAAAGAAATAAAATAAAAGCATATATTCACACCATTTGCAAATAAAGAAAAACACCTACACACCCTTTCACCAGGACAGCATCTAATGCAATGCAGCTTAAAAATGCCAGAAGGAGAAATGTCAACTCCACACACTGTATTATTATTCTGTATTATTTACCATTTCCTTCCATGCGTTGGTCATTTACCCCACCCCTTGCAATGTAGATTTTACACAGGAGTGATCACTCCCGTCTGACGTGTTTTTACATCAAGATGTATTTGAAATACTACATCTTAAAATGAGTATGAGGAGAAATTGGTCTATGAAAACCTATCCCTTTTTGAAATAATGTACTTCTGATTTGCTATGGAAAAGTTAGGAGTCACTTCAATCTTTAGGATGCTGACACTATATTAAAATTATATGTGGGCGATGGTACAGAATGGCTAATTGCCATATTAGGCAAGTTTACTATGTATTTGATCAGAACCTAGACTCATTTTGCTGGATAAACAGATGTACCATGTCCCAGAAATATGCAAATGAAACTAATTTCAGTCTCGAAATACCATCAAACATTTGTCAGTGAAGATGCTATTCTTCTCTGACTTACTATTTTATACAGTCCTCTCTCAACGCACAGTACTTCCTTGAAATACAAACTTCCACCTCAAGGTACATACTCTCCAGGCAGGTCTTCATTTGCCTGCCTGATTTTTTATTTCTTGGACTTCTGTGGTCTGTTTTGTTCCTTACCGGGTACATTATTTATTTACTTAGTGAATTTTCTCATGCCTGAATTAGAAATACAGGCAGAATCCCGCTTTCACAACTACTTTAAATAAGGCAGAGATGTGGTAAGCTTTGAGATATGAGTTGTCTCCCCAGTGGGCTTTGTGCCTCTGGTATAGAAAGTACCAGAAGTCAGAGCACAAGGCTTTAGTCCTGCTCCATACCTGATTGGCCAGACACACCAGGGAGTGTCCCTTTTTCTCTGGAAACCAGTTTTTGTCAGCATTAAATGCAGACTGTAATTATGGAGACCATGTAACATATCACCCAAGTTGAGACTACTTTGAAAGACAAATTAAATTTACATACTTTAAAAAAAAATTTATGTGTAGAGAGACAGCGTGCGTGAGTGCACAAACAGGGAGAGCAGCGGGCAGAGGGAGAAGCAGGCTCCCCACTGAGCAGGGGGCCCGATGCGGGGCTCGATCCCAGGACCCTGGGATCATGACCTGAGCCGAAAGCAGACGCTTAACTGACTGAGCCACCCAGGCGTCCCATTTACATACTTTAAAAATTTACATACTTTAAAAATATTTAGTTTGTAACCAAGAAAGCAGCTTTACCATGTTGAAATAAATAGTTCTATCAAAATATTTTCAAATACAAAATTATAATTACACTTTATCACAAAATGATTAAGTCTAGAACAGAGGGATGAATAGGCAGAGCACAGAGGATTTTCAGGGCGGTGAAACTATCTGTAAGACACTATAATGGTGGATACATGTTATTATACATGTTTCAAAACCCACAGAATATAGAACACTGAGAGTGAACTCTAATGTGACCTATAGGCTTTGAGGGATGATAGGTCAATGTAGCTTCACCTGCTGTAACAACTGTACCACCCTGGTGGGGGATGTTGATAGTCAAGAAGGCTGTGCATATGCAGTGGCAGGGGGTCTAGGAGAAATCTCCATACCTTCCATTCAATTTTGCTTTGAACCTAAAACTTCTCTAAAAAAATTAAGTCTATAAAAAAAAATCCAGGACAAATGCTAAGCCAAATGGGATGCTGGGACAAAAGAAGGGTTAATTGGGGGTATATGGAGATGTTAACTATAACCCTCACCTTAATCAACTCACAGTGGTCTTAAAAGGATCCAATGAGAGGAAGCATTCATTTACAAAAAAAAAAAAAAAAGTCTTTTTTTAAGGCACACAGGCAGTAACTGTCTTCACTCCTTGCTCTGAATTCACTCTACGTGTCTTGAAATGGAAGGAGATAGTACATAGGCCGATTTATTATTCCTGCTTTGAGTAGTAAGGAAAGATACCTTGGCAATGGCTACTTCAGGGTTAGTCACTCAAAATTCTGCCAGCAAACATCATGATGGGCTTTCAAGGTTGGGAAGGACAGATACGTGGTGAAAGCAGCCAGGGTAAGATTGCAGAATGACAGGGCAGGCAGCTCAGCTGTGGAGGAAACTCTGCTTTGTAGCAACAATCTTTTGCTCTATCCCTTTCTTGTCCTTCTCTCTTTCTCACACTTTTCCAGATGTTTAGTTACCATTTGCTAGTTAACATATTCCTGTTTCTTTCAGGACAGGAGTAAATTTGTTACAGGCTTTGATCACTTATGATTTTATTACAGAAGAGGTTCAACACTTTGTTCTTCAGAAACAGGAAGTACAGAGGAATATTAACTCTTTAAGAAAATGTTTTATTTGAGAGAGAGAGAGCGAGAGCAAGCACAAGTGGAGGGCAGAGGCAGAGGGAGAGGGAAAAGCAAGCTCCCCACTGAGCAGGGAGCCCTATGTGGAGCTCCATCCCAGGACCCCAAAATCATGACCTGAGGGCCAAGCCAGATGCTTAACTCACTGAGCCACCCAGGCACTCCAGGAATATTAATTCTATTCCAACATCAGCAAAAAACATCAAATAATTTACTTTTTATTACATTTGTTGTCCATTTCCTCTCACTAATGTCTGTGTATACAATAATTTTCTCAGTTGTATACACTGTTGTATCCTCAATACCTAGCCCAGTGTCTGGCATATAATATATGCTCAATAAAAATGGCCAAATGAACTAAGACATCAGAATCACAAACATTTCTTGTGTCCTTGGAAATACCAAGAAATAAACAATAATATCCCTACCCTCAATGAAAACAAAGAAGGAGGGATTTATTCATTTATTCAAACATTTTTTATTAAGTACCTACTATGTGCCCAAGACTAGAGCTTGGATGGTGAATAAGGCTCACGCCCTATTGGGAGTTTATTTACATTCTAAGGAGGAGCAAGACATTTGCAAACAGATATTTACACACCAAAAAAAAAAAAAAATGATATATACAAGATTCTAGGTCAAGATGGGGATGTAGGAGGATCCTGAATTCATTCCTCCCATGGACACACCTAATCTACAGCTACATATGGAACAAGTTCCCCTGAAAGAAGTCCAAAAGTAGCTGAACAATTCCTACATACCAGGCAAACAAGAAAAAAAAAAACAACTCATATTTTTTGAGTAGGGGAGGCTGAGACACAATCTTGCTATAGATCCCACCCTTGGGCAGCAACCCACAATTGGGAGGAAACTCACAACTCTGAGCTTCTTTTTGAGGAGTGAAAGTTTTGAAGCCCACATCTGACACCCCAATGTTTAAGACCTGCACCTGAGAGATGAGCCCCCAAAATACCTAGCTGTGAAAGCCATCAGGGCTTGTATCCATGAGATCCACAAGGGTATAACAAATTAAAAAATAGTGGGTTCACTATGGCTATCCTCCAGGGCCCGGTGCAAAGGAAGTTGAAATGCCCAGTTGTTCTGTGAAAGAGGACTATTTGCTTAAAGTTTCAGTCTGAAGGGCAAGCATCTGATCTAATACACATCTTGAGGCCCACTGAAATACTCTCCAAAGACTGAGGAGGCCCGAGGGTGCTACGTTTGCACTTTCCCTCTGCCTGTTCCAGCTTGCTGCCATCTCCTGGAAAGAAGCCTGTACACACAAGGGGCACCAAGGTTCATGTGGCTACTACCCAAGAGTCACCCCTTGACCTCCTGGCTTGGGAGGCCAGCAGTGCCTACATTCATGGATCCAACAGGACTGTAACAAATGGAGAACCCGTTCTTAATCAGCTACCCCCTAAGGCACAGCAGAGACAGAGCAGCCTGAGATGCCCAGGCTCTCTATGGAAGAGGCCTATTAATTCACCTTCATAACTGTGGCCTGAGGGGCCAACCTCTAAATAAATACATATCTAGGGGTTGGCAGCTGTCCACTCCAGAGACCAGGGAGACCCTTGGGTACCATTTTGCACTCTCCCTTTGTCCTGCCCCAGGTCATCAGTGTCTCCAAGAAAGGAGCTTATGCTCAGGTCTGGCACCCCAGCTTTTGTGGCTGGCCCCGAGAGGATACACCTCTTGATAGCCTGGTTCTGAAGGCCATCAGAGCTTGAGTGCACAGGTTCAATGGCATGGTAAGCAAACCAACAAATAATTCTTAATTCTTAACTAGCTATTACCCCAGGCCTCAGTGCAGAGGGAACAAACAGAAATGCCCATCTCCTGCTCTTTCCCTGAAAGAGGTGTATTTTAAAAGCTACTGTCTGAGGTCTGGCTTCCAATCAGAATGAATATAGGTGCTAAGATCCTCCCCTTTGGGACACTGACGGGTCTTGGTACACCCTCAATTACTGGGAATGACAAAGAACCAAGTAGGCTGTTTATACAATCATAAAGGTTTGATGGACAACCAAGAGCTAGGGGAAGGGTTGAACAATAAGATTCATCTACATGAGGCCATCTCTTTAAGACCGGGAGAGGGAGCTGTTTAATGTAGAGAAACCAACAAAGAGAGTCAAGAAAAAAATGAGCAAACAAAAGAATATGTTCCAAATGAAAGAACAAGATAAAATCTCAGAAAAAGACCGCAATTAATTGGAAATAAGTCATTTACCTGATAAAGAGTTCAAAATAACAGTCCTACAGATACTCACTGAGCTCAGGGGAACAAAGCATGAACAAAGTGAAAATGTCAACAAAGAAATAAAAAATATAAGAAAGTACCAAACAGAAATCAGAGATGAAAACAATAACTGAACCAAATAATACACTAGAGGGGTTCAACAGGATACTAGACGAAGAAGGAAAAAGTTCAGTAAACTCCAACAGAGGGCAATGGAACTCACCCAATCAGAGCAGAAAAAAGAAAAAAGAATGAAAGAGAGAAGACAGCTTAAGAGATTTATGAAGCAACCCCAAGTAGAATAACATTGGTATTATAAGGGTCCCAGAAGAACAGGGAGACAAAGGGGCAGAAAACTCATTTGCAGAAATAATGGCTAAAAATTTCCCTAACATGGGGAAGGAAACAGACATCCAGATCCAGGAAGCACAGAGAGTTCTAGGTAAGATGACCCAAAGAAACCCAGACCAAGACATATTATAATTAAAGTGTCAAAAGTTAAAGACAAGGAGAGAACCTTAAAAGCGGCAAGAGAAAAACAATTTGTTTTATATAAGGGAAGTCCTATTAAGACTATAAGCAGATTTTCCAGCAGAAACTTTGCAGGCCAGAAACTCTGCAGGGAATGGCACAATATATTTAACTTGCTGAAGGAAAAAAGTGCCAACTAAAAATACTCTACTTGACAAAGTCATCCTTCAGAATTAAAGGAGAGAGGAAGACTTTTCCAGACAATAAAAAGCTAGAAGACTTCATCTCCATTAGAAGAGCCTGACAAGAAATGTTTCAGGGACTTCTTTAAGTTGAGATGAAAGGGTACCAATCAATAATAGGAAAAGATATGAAAGTATAAATCTCACTGGTCACAATAAATATAGAGTAAAATTCAGAATAATTTAATGTTGTACAGGTGGTGGGTTAATTACATATAAAAGTAGGATGAAAGTTAAAAGACAAAAGTAGTAAAAACAACTATAACTACAATAATTTGTTAATGGACAAAAGAAAAAGAGGTAAGTTGTGACATCAAAAACAAAACATGGGAGGGGGCAGTAAAACGTAAAGCTTTAGAAGGCATTCAAACTGAAACTATTATTGACTTAAAAAAGACTGTTGTAAGTTGGTTTAGGAAAGCCTCATGGTAACCACAAAGCAAAACTATAATAGATACAGTAAAGATAAAAGAATCTAAGCATACCACTACACTACAGAAAATCATCAAATCACAAAGGAAGAGAGCAAGAGAAGAACAAAGGAATTACAAAATAGCCAGAAAACAATTAACAAAACAAGAGTAAGTAATATCTATCAGTAATTACTTTAAATGTAAATGGACAAAATTCTCCAATCCAGAGACATAGGGTGGCTGACGGATAAAAAAAAAAAAAAAGACCTATCTATGTTGCCTACAACAGACTCACTTCAGATGTAAGGACACACAAAGACTAAAAGTAAAGGGATAGAAAAAGGTATTCCATGCAAACAGAAACCAAAAGAAATCTAGGATACCTATACAAAGTAAGCTTGAAAATAAAGACTGTAATAAAAGACAAGAAGGTTATTATATAACAAAGGTGTCAATCCAGCAAAAGGATATATTTGTAAATGTTTACACATACATCATATGAGAACCTAGGTCTTTAAAGCAAATATTAACAGGCCTAAAGGGAGAAATGGACAGCAATACAATAGAGTAGTGGACTTTAATACCCTACTTTCATCAGTGCATAGATCATCCAGACATTAAATCAATAAGGAAACATTGGCTTTAAATGACACATTAGACCCGATGGACTTATAAGACATTTAAAGAACATCCCATCCAAAAGCAACATAGTACACATTCCTCTCAAGTACACATGGAACATTCTCTAAGATAGATCATATGTTAGGCCACAAAAGAAGTGAATAAATTTAAGAAGATGGAAATCTTATCAGGCATATTTTCTGACCACAATGGTATGAAACTAGAAATCAATGACAAGAACAAAACTGGAAAATCCACATGTATGTGAAGATTAAACAACACATTACTGAACAACCAATGGATCAAAGAAGAAATCAAAAGAGAAATAAAAAACAAATGGAATTCCTCATATCAGTGAGATCTTAATCTCAGGAAACAAACTGAGGGTTCCTGGAGTGGTGGGGGGTGGGAGGGATAGAGTGGCTGGGTGATAGACATTGGGGAGGGTATGTGCTATGGTGAGCGCTTGTGACTTGTGTGTAAGACTG